CTAAAAATAGAACTGCCATATGATCCAGCAATCCCATTTCTGGGTATATATCTAAAGGAAATGAAATCAGGATCCCAAGGAGATATTTGCACTGCCATGAACACTGCAGCATTGTTTATGAGAGCCAAGATGTGGAAACAACCCAAGTGCCCACAGAAAGAAGGATGCGCAAAGAAGATGGACTATTACTCAGGTATGAGAAAGAAGGAAACTCTACCTTTTACAATAATGCGGATGAACCTGGAGGACATAACGCTAAGTGAAATAAGCCAGACAGGGAAAGGCAAATACTGCATTTTTTCACTTATATGTGGAATCTAAAAAAAATAAAGAAAAAAGTTGAACTTATTGAAACAGAGAGTAAAAGGATGGTTACCAGGGACTGAGGGACTGGGGGAAATGGGGAGATGCTGGTCAAAAAGTACAAAGTTGCAATTATGTAGGATAAGACTAGAGAGCTAATGTACAGGCATGAAGACTCTACTTAATACTACTGTGTTGAACACTGGAAATATGCTAAGATAGTAGATTTCAGGTAAACTAATCATACAAAAAAAATAAGTTTGTGAGATGATATGTTAATTAGTTGACGGTAGCAACATTTCACTATATATGTATATCAAGCCATCATGTTGTACACCTTAGGTACATATAATTTTTATTTTTGGATACTTTTCATTTATTTATTTATTTTTATTTTTTTAAAAGGTTTTATTTATTTATTTGACAGAGAGAGCACAAGCAGGGAGAGCAGGAGAGGGAGAAGCAGGCTCCCCGCTGGGGAGCCCAATGCGGGACTCAATCCCATGACCCTGGGATCATGACCCGAGCCGAAGGCAGAAGCTTAACCGACCGAGCCACCCAGGTGCCCTAAATACTTTTTAAAAAGAAAAAAAATAATGTAATAGGAATCCTAACTCAAATGAGATCTAAATTATAGGTGATAATACAATATCATAAAATCATTAAGTCTCCTCCAAATTATTCTACAAATTTAGTGAAAAATCAGTCAAAATCCAAGAAGTATTTGTTGTGGAACTTGATTCCAAAAAAATCTACATGAAAGAGTGAAAATGTAGGACATTGGAAAACCTGTTAAAATAAAAAAGAACAAAGATATAAAGCTGTATCATAATGTTTCAAAAAAAATAATATTAATGTGTTAATGATGCTGCAAAATACCAAGAAATTAGGTAGAATTTTCTGGATTGCAAGTTGAAAACTATTAGTGGTCAGGAAGTCAAGTTAATAGTTATCACCAAATTTGTTTTTTAAAGGATTGAAAAAGAAGAAACTACCAGTGTAACACACCTGTGAGGTGTGGGTGTTGCTTAACAAACATTTGTTTAGTGTGTGTGTGTGTTTGCCCATGTGTGTGCATGGGTGGTAAATCAGGTTATAAGATAAATTTATTTCTAACTTTGCCCAACTCTATAGAATGTTTGAAAAACATTGAAACAATAAAGGAACAGAACAGCACATAGGAATTTGGAATATGATTAGGGTGATATTTCAAAGCCGTAGGAAAAAGGAGAACTATTCAGTACAGGGTGTTGAGACCTTGGCTATCTATATAAAAATAATAATATAATAAAGTTAGTGACCTTTCACACACAGTACATAAAACTGTATTTCAAAAGGATTAAAAACTGAAGGGTAAAAAACTATGAAAATACTTCTGTAAAAATGATAGGAGAAAACAAAACAATGAAACTTCTTCACAATAAAAAACACCATGTAAATGTTTAAAGACAACTGGGAGACAATATTTGCAATTTCAATAAAAAGTATAAATTAGTATTTAAAATGTATAGCTGTCTCACATCAGTTTAAAAGTATATAAACACAGCAGGAAAGTGGATATGGGATATTAACACCCACACACACACACATATATATAAGTATGTCCAATTCCAAAACACAAATTAAAACAACAATGATACAGCTTTTAGCACTCATGCTGGCAAAGATGAAAGAGTTTAATAGTATCAAGTGGTGCTGGTCAGGAACTAAGGAGGATGATAGTCAAATATGAGAGTGAGGGAAAAGGTAAACTGTTACTTTGGAGGGCAACTTGCAAGTATGTATTAAGATTAAAATGCAGGTGCCTGGGTGGCTCAGTCATTAAGCGTCTGCCTTCAGCTCAGGCCATGATCCCAGGGTCCTGGGATCCAGCCCCGCGTCGGGCTCCCTGCTCGGCGGGAAGCCTGCTTCTCCCTCTCCCACTCCCCCGGCTTGTGTTCCCTCTCTCGCTGTGTCTCTCTCTGTCAAATAAGTAAATAAAATCTTTAAAAAAATAAAATAAATAAAATGCACATAACTTCTAATTCAGCAATTCAACCCTGTGGCATTTATCTCCTAAAGGAACACCCACAGTCATTCCCAGAGAGAGATATGTAGAAAGTGTTCATTACTGAATGGTTTACAATAGAAAAAAATTTAAACAAACTAGGGTCCATTTAGAGGAAAATGTCTAAGAAAACTGGTATGTTTATACTGTGCACACAAGTAAAAGAAATAAGGTATGTCCATGTAATACGGCTAGATCTCAAGAATTAACACTGATGGACAATAAAAAATATTCAGAACAATACATATGGGTTTAAACCACTAATATTAAAGAATACAAAACAATGTTACATAGTACTCTACGAACAGAGGTTACCCCTGGAAAGAGTTCAGCTGAGACAGAAGTAGAGGGTGGTCAAAAGGGTTTTGACTTCCTCTGACAAGTTGAGTTTTCATCCCCAGAAATTCTATTTGGCTATTTTTCAAGCATGCTTTATCTTTTTTTTTTTTTTTTGATAGCATAATATTCTTTTCTCTTTTAATATTTCTTCTTTTATAACTCCACCTACTATTTCTGTAATCTGAAGTTCTGGACAATCCAATCCTACTGTTCCTTAGTTGACTCTCAGTCTTGGGGTCTACGTCACTGTATTTTATATTTGGGAGCCAGTCCTCAGTCCAGATTCCATAGCCAGAGCAAGCAATGTGTCCTTCCATAAATGTTTTTCATTCGCTTTCCTGCAGACCCAGGGTCATGTTTGTGTTATTTCTCAGCTTGCAGGCTCCTATATAACGCAGGTACTGTAAATTTGCAATCTAACTGTCACTGAGGGCAGGGCTTTGACTTTGAGTACTCAGGGGAGTACTTGATTCAGAGCAAGGCTAAAACCAGGAAGCCAACTTATCATGGCCTTGTGTTGATCCACTGTTGTTGCCCATCTCTCCCCTCCTCCCAGGTTGAGCCTTTTTCACTGTCTTTATAGCCTTCTGGGGGTTTTCAGTTCCAGTTTTCTGGAAAGATCAGCTTTCTGGGGATTTTCAGTTCCTGCTCCCCTCCTCGCCTAGATTCAAGGCCTTGTTCTTAGATCTGTGGCTCTTAGAACTCAAATGCCCTGTCGACAAACACAAGGAACACTAACATGACTTCAATTTGTACAGGCGTGATGCCTGGTCACCCAGTTTTGGTCAGCAGAAGTTGTCTTAATTTTTTGTATTTAGCTAAATATTTAAAGGAATGTTTGCAATATTTTAAATTTTCTAGGTGTGATAGGAGGGTTTTCAGATTCTCTAACTTACTATATATTACTACAAATAAAATGTTTCAATATTTTTAAACATCAACTCACTTTTACTTATAAATTAAAAATGCTAAATACATATCGGAGAAACCAAAATAGTATTTCTCTGTATGTGCCTTATTGAAGATGAAGATTTTGACTTAATTCTTAAAGACTGAGAAGATTTTGAACATAAGCAGCAGACAAGGGAAGGAATGGGATTATAACCGATCTGGTTCCCTATCCCACAACCCACTTACACTAGGAGGTCCCATGGCCTGCTACTTAGCACCATCATCTAACTTTTTGGTGAGATTCAATGTTAACAACCACTTTTTTGAGAGAGAGAGAGAGAGAGAGAGTGTGTGCATGCATGAACAGGAGAGCAAAGGGAGAGGGAAAGAGACAATCTTAAGCAGGCTCCATACCCAGCACGGAGCTTGACTCGGAGCTTGATCTCACAAGGACAACATAGAAATATATGCAAAATCAAGTAAACAATAATAAAACAACATGAAAACATTCCACTCATAAAGGAGGTTAAAAATCCTAGCGACAGCAATAAGAAGAAAGCCTGTGGTTCCTAGTAAGCATAAATATATCTTCAGATTTAACTTCTGTATTTCAGGAAGGCAGTTCCTAAGACCAAACTTTTTGATGGTAAGGCAACCAGAACAACCTACATGGAAATGCAAACCATGTCGACCACAGCTTGGAAATCCAGTCTTTCAGAAGGAACGTCAAATCTTTTCTTTTGTAAAATAAAAACAATCCAGACTTATCTAAGAAGAGATTTTATTCAAAAAGCCTATTGCAATAAGGAAGATGCTCCAAAGATATGTCTGCAAGCATCTCAACATCAAACAGAAACGCTTTCCTCTTATAGGGAGGGGTAAGCAGGCTAGCAGGAACTTTTGAGAGGAAATGGGATAAACTAGTGGGGGGAAGCAGGATGCATGATCAGGCTGTGGTCAAGCATTAGTGCTTGCTCAGACTTGGGCCAAACCAAAGTTCAGGGGCCTGGGAGGAAGAAACAACGTGACTAACATTTGATCAAGCTAAGGCAGAAGGTAACAACCGGACAACTCTGAACACTCAGTCTCTTCATAACAGCAAGAATACTGGTTTTAATAGTAGTATTTCAATAAAAGAGTAGTTAGGAGTTAAACCCTCCAAACAGGTTAAGTAAATAACCAACTAAAAAAGTCCACTTTTTTTCTCTCTTCCTGGACACCTAACCCTTCTTTCCCCAGGGTCCTTCCTGGGTAAGTAAGGGGTATGTTGCTGCCAACATGACCCAGATAGTCAAAGGATTTGCAAACTTATGTTCTCATATGGATCTCTCTTCAAGAAAAATTTCATCGGACAGAGGAAATCAATAACTAGAACATGAAAACATGGCTTCAAAAATTATTTGAAAGGCAACACATTTACCAGTCAGTGATATGCTATGACTCTCCAAGGAAAGGTTAGAATATTTTGTCATCATTTCTTCTCGGATGGGTAGAGTCGTAAGAGGTGAAGCTGTAAGAAAAAGAAAATGTGATTGCATGTTATTATCAAGATGAAATAACTACAAGCTAGTTTGTAGCAGCTAAAATGCTATATTGTATACAATTAATGAAAAATAAAATTAATTTAAAAAAATAACATAGGAGTGTTGTAAGTGTTTTTTTAAAAAGGTCTCATTTATTTGACACAGAGAGAGAGAGCATGAACAGAGGGAGGGGCGGGGAGCAGAGAGCCCTACTCAGGACTTGATCCCAGGACCCCGGGATCACAACCTGAGCTGAAGGCAGATGCTTAACCGACTGAGCCACCCAGGCACCCTGTAATTACTTTTTACAATCAAGAATAAACTCCAAATATCGGAATAGAGACTGAGAACAAACAGGAGTTGTACAAAATCATAAAAAATTATTCTACCAAAAAAGGGCAATGCAAACATTCCTTCGGTATCAGATGGGAGATAGGGGAAGCATACCTTTCATTCATATGAGAAAGAGAGAAACAGTTCTTAAGACTAAAGGACAGTTAAAGACTGGACAAGTAACTGAATAAAACATGTTACTGACTCAGTAAATGTGTTTACAATACTTTAAATTCTAATTATACCTGTAACATTGTTCCTAAAATAGACAAGTACTCTTACTCATTTAAAAAATCTGAGATTACTTTTGAACCACTGGAATCCAAAACTGTGAAAAAGAAAGCCGAGCTGAGCTTCAGTGCAGAATGCTTTACTTATTTTTCCATAGCACTGTCATCGACTCATTTGATAGCATCTTTGATTTCCCTGCCTAAAGGTCTTCCAGTGGATACACGAATTCCCCCTTCAATGCAAAGAGATTTGAATGGATGCACCAGCAAAAACTGATGAAAACATAAGAGTCTCTGCCAATTGAAATGAACCTTCCCTTCTTCTCAGGTGTCCTTCTTCTACAGAGTCCTTCTTAGGCTCCCACGGTCTGACCAGCCGCCCCCTCCCAGCACACAGAGCATACTGCCTTCATTGCGGTAGACTCCCACATCCTATGTTCTAATTGTATGAGGTAATGGCGTGTTTCTCCCACCAGACCATGAGTAAGGATTAATAATTTATGAGGCAAAATGCAATGGCTTACTTAAAAATAAAAACTTCTGGGGGCACTGTATTATTTGAAAGGCAACACATTTACCAGTCAGTGATATGTTATGACTCCCCAAGGAAAGGTTAGAATATTTTGTCATCATTTCTTCTCGGATGGGTAGAGTCGTAAGAGGTGAAGCTGTAAGAAAAAGAAAATGTGATTGCATATTATTATCAAGATGAAATGACTACAAGCTAGTTTGTAGCAGCTGAAATGCTATATTGTATACTATTCCTGAAAAGTAATGTTTTCAGGAAGCTGAGGAACTAGATCTCATACATTCACAGATATTCAGACATATATTGGGCTATTAAATGCAACCACATTTCCAACTTTTTCTATGTTCTTTTCTTTACTGAAAAATCCCTGATTTACATCAAGTAGCTTAAAAAAATTATTTTGTTATCCTACCATTTGTAGTTTATAAAACATAAATGAAGACACTGAAGAATTAAATAAGAGTGCCAGGAAAAAGACATGAAGAGGCAGAAAGAAGATGAGTGAACAAAGAGAGACAGAGAGACCATAATAAAGGGCATAAAACGAGGAGAGAGAAGAGAAAATGGCTGCACAGTGAGAGTTTCTGCTGTTTTCCAGCTACAGTTACAGACTGGGCTACCCTCTACCAAACTGACTTGTGGTTCTCCTCTGTCGCTTCTCTCATCTTTTCAAAACCTTTACTGAAAAAAAAAAGTTTCCATTTCCTCCCTCCCACTCTCCTCAAAACTGCTTCTTCTTCTTCTTTTTTTTTTTTTTGTACACTGGCTACTGTTCTTTGACTGTGAGGCACCAGAACCTACCTCCCATAAACACCACCCCAACTCTATCAAGTAAGTCAGAAAAGGGGAAAAGGCTTATGACTGTAGTCTTGGCTGCATTCTTAAAACTTCTCATTCTCATTCAGTTAAATTAAACCTGAGCCTTTTTTATTTCACTTTCTTAATACTCTGCTCAGAAACTTACTCCTAGTGCAAAATTAGATTTCCAGTTCTTTTCTTATGTGTATGAAAAATATTATCAAAGTTAGTGATCACCTTTGTTGCCTCAGCTTATGCACAGCTTTTATAATATTGCCTAATAAAAATATCTACCTAGCAGAACCTCGCTCTCCAGTAAGCTGTGTTCCAAAGGCTTGATCACTTCTAAAGCAGCTTTGGAAGGTGGAGTGCACTTTCTCATAAAGTAATCCTTTAATGAATTTAATATGTAAATCATAGCACCCTCTGACAGTGATTACACAGGAAAATATGCCCTGAGTTTCTCACCGGGCTATCAAGAATACAGAACATTTCTTCCACTCACATCTAATATTCATTCATTCATATTCTTTCTGTCTCCATCTCTCTCTGTCTCTCTCTCTGTCTCTCTCTCTCTCACACACACACGCATGCACACATGCACACACACATACACACACAGCCAAAAAGGTTCCTATCAACATTCTTTTTCTAATGAAAAAAGTTGTTTTTCCATTCTTGGGCATTGCTCACTTAGAGGTTGTATTTAAGAGGAAATATCTCAGGAAGATGAAAGCAGATGCTATTGACTTACAGATAGGAAGCCAGGAGGGTGCGGATGGGAAGGAATGAACTGTTCTACATCATCCGTTCTGTGAAACTTGCAAAACATAAGCTTTGATATCTTTGTTTCCTTGCTAAGGAGTTCTCTTTTCTTGGCCTAGCCTACTGCAGAGCTGAATATAATTGTAAGGGTTCTCATCACACTCTTTATGCCTAAAACAAGCCCATAATCCTTCAAGATGGTCTAATATCATTTATTCATATTATTAGTAGTATTCACACTATCAACAGCAATAAGAAAGTGACATAAGCTGAAAAAAGGTGTTTTATTCCTTCTTATTTTATTTAAATAAGTGAATATAGAGAGAGCATCTGATACATGCTTGATGCTGGTAAGGAGTATGAAGCTGAGTAAACTTGGTCCCTACAGGGCCACATGGATCATAATAATATCAATTTAGGCCCACAATCTGTAACTGAAAGTCATTAAAATTTCAGAGTTCCACCCATTCACAGTATTGACTATAACTAGCCCATGTATTTTCCAACTTGGCAGGTGAGCAGCAGAGGATGAAGCCTGATTTACATCTTTTTTTTTTAAGATTTTATTTATGTATTTGACAGAGACACAGCGAGAGAGGGAACACAAGCAGGGGGAGTGGGAGAGGGAGAAGCAGGCTACCCATGGAGCAGGGAGCCCGATGCGGGACTGGATCCCAGGACCCTGGGATCATGACCTGAGCCGAAGGCAGACGCTTAACAACTGAGCCACCCAGGCGCCCCCTGATTTACATCTTTGAGAGACTCTGAAGGTGGAACAGAGGTGGAGACAATGTCACAGAGATGAGCTCAGGGGCTGGGGTTATTTTGCCATTTCTCAATATCAGGACTGGATGGGAGAGCGTACTTGTATTAGGAGAAAAGAAGAGAGGTCCAGACTTGGCCTGGGCAAAATCTAAGCTTACAGAAGCTGACGGAATAGGAGGGAAAAGAAAAGCCAAGCTTCAGAGGAGGAAAGTTTGGGTAGCTCCAGAATATACTAGCTGTTATGACCACTTCCCACCGCCAATCCATATATTAAAAACACAGACATCCATAAACCAGCCACGACCTGTCCCCTAACTTCATATCCCCTCTAAAGCATTTATCTTGATCAGGCTCCAGATTCCACTGAACAAGCCCCAAGTGCAAAAGAACATGTGTCACTCTTGTGATTTTTTTTGCCTTCGGGAAAAGTCCCTTCAAGAGGCAATGTATACAAACGTCTTGAGTAGAAAAAGCAGGGCCGTCTACGGAAGGTACTAGAATATAAAAGTGAGAAGTTCTTTGCTTGGCCAAGATATAAAATATATATATATATATTTTAATCAAAGAAGTGGGAATGTAAACTTTATTGCTTTCCGTACGAGGACAACTGGCAGGAGGCGGAGATTGGTGTTTAAAAGGAAATTGGCAGGAGAGTCAGGAAGATGTGGTTTGAATACATCCCCGAAAGGATTAGGCTGTCACGAAAAGAAACACAAAATGGAGAGGCAGGAATTTGGGATCCTAATCCAAGTTCTGCCTGTCTTGTTACTTGGGGTTTCATTTCATGGAGAAGAGAGGGAGGATCAGAAGAGTCTAATATTGAGTGATGGTGTCAAGATCATAGCATACATTCCTCAAGTTATCACACTCACCCCTCTCTTAATCATTGCGGGAAACTTTCCACCCAGCCTTCTCTTACAGTCAGTGGCAAAACTGCCACATAAAAGAGTAACATCTAATAGTTTTTCTAAAGATTAAAGATTTTCCTCCCTCTGCAGGGGCGATGGGCCATGAGGGTGTCGCATCAAAGAGCTGAATAACAACCTAATTTTCACCTATTACTAGTTCATGTGAAATAGCAAAATAGTCTCTACTTAAATATCTTTCACATACTACATTTTAAAATAGACATTGCTAGATGGGTTTATAATTTATGCTATTAAAATTTTTAAAAGAAATAAACATGCTATAATTTCTACTTAAAATATTAATGTAACGGGGCACCTGGGTGGCTCAGTCGTTAAGCGTCTGCCTTCGGCTCAGGTCATGATCCCAGGGTCCTGGGATCGAGCCCCGCATCGGGCTCCCTGCTCAGCGGGAAGCCTGCTTCTCCCTCTCCCACTCCCCCTGCTTGTGTTCCCTCTCTCTCTGTGTCTCTCTCTGTCAAATAAATAAAAATAAAATCTTAAAAAAAAAATATTAATGTAACATTTTTACATATTTAATTCTGGAGCTCCATTTTAATTGAAGTAAATTGGGAAGAAAAAAAAAAGAGGATAAGTAACACTAGAACACTGCCTTGGGTCTCTAGATTTACTTTTCTCTAAATGGGAAAATAAGTTCAATCATACCTCTGTTTAAGAATAAGCATTTTCTCTAAATTCCCCCCAAACATCTTTATTATATTTTATGATTTTGGAAGGGTCTAGACTTCATTTAGAAAAAGGTGTAAGTAAAAGCTATTATTAGGATAAATATCACTCTCTCTCTTTTTCTCTCTCCCCCATATAATGCACTGATTGCTCTCAATATGCAGAATTAACAATGTTTTTAATAAATCTTAATTTTAGCATTCTTATACACAGCATTATGAATGTGCAGCCCAATTACAAAAACACTATAACTTAGGAGTGGATAATATATACTATTTAGGATAATATATACTATTTAGAAAACAGAGGTTTGGAATTCAGAATATATTTCCTCATGGAAGCAATGCTATATATAACCACAAGATCCCATGCCAAATTGTAAAAGCGATTTAAGCCATGATACGGCTAAACTGTAGCATTAAAATATCCAAGTACAAATATTTCTAATAAACAGTGCTTTCAGAGTTCTACTTCTGGAATCTAGAAATACAGTATTCCTATCCTGTCTGTAATGGCAACAGTAGAAAGAAGAGAAGGGGAGAATGAGGCTATCTTGATTCCCAGACACTATAATCCACAGGGAGTTTGTCAAGAAAAGAGAAAAGAAGGTTTGGCAAGAAAATAAATTCCTGATGGGGACATTTATAAGTCAGACTTTCTAAGTCAGGGACAGATTAAAAAAACAAACAGGAAGCTCATATTTTTTCTACATAGAATTAGAACCATTGGGCAAAAAGACCATTTTTAGGGGCGCCTGGGTGGCTCAATCGGTTAAGCGTCCTACTCTTGATTTCGGCTCAGGTCATGATCTCAGGGTTGTGAGATCGAGCCGTGCGTTGGGCTCTGTGCTGGGCACGGAGCCTGCTTAAGATTCTCCCTCTCCCTCCTCCTCTGCCCCGCCCCTCACTCCACTTGGGCACATGCACACACACACTCTCTCTTAAAAAAAAAAAAAGGCCATTTTTAGACCAACAACCAAAAAACCTCAAGAACAATTAAAAAGCCTAATAACAAGAACAGTGTGCACTTTTACAAAGCCTTGTAAAACTGGTTTTAAACCTTGGTCATATTGAAATATAAACAAATTGATCTTTTCTTTGAAATAGGATTATTGCAATAAAATACATTTCGAAGGGTGGTATAAAAACTCGTTTTAAACTACCTCTAAATGGTCATTAAGATATGTTAACAGTAAATCTTAGGCCAAATAAAACTCTTT